CCCAGAAATATGGTCGTCGTTCGAGTACATTTCTTTGAAACTGTGTCGTTTCTCATTAATTATCGTTAGTTTATGAGAAAGCTCTCGCTTTGTAGATATGAAAGACCCATATATGTTTTGTATTCTCTTCTGAGCTTTAATAAAGACATTGCTTTTGAAACTCCCGGCAAGTGGGTCCTTTTGAAGTACTTATCTAGCCAATAGTGATACTTTGCAACCTAGGTTCGTACCTGTCTGCTTGAAGACAAACGATATTCAACAATAATCATACGAACGTAAACGCTACCTACTATTTTTCCTAAAATCATTGCTTTCAGGCTATAGTCAAGAGCTGTTATGACTAATAAAAGCAGTGACTACATTTACATTTTATACTGCTTTTATGCTTTGAAGTATGGAACTTTATATATATACAACGTTTACAAGTAAAAAGAAAATAATCCCCCATAAATTGTTTATTTATACATCCCGTAAAAAATACTTTTCAGGTGAAGTCAACACCAAAGCTATTATTAAGACTCCCAGATAATAGTATGTTGTTATTTTACGTTCAGTTGTTCCATGGATCTAACGAAGTCATTAGCCACGGATGTACATTTTCAAGTGATAATAACTAACATTTTTTATGTAATAGTATAGACTAAGTTAAAATGTGTATTAATACAGTTAAGAGCAGAAGACAAGTTTTTGTCCTCCTTATTTATTCACTAAATGATGCTCAGTTTAACAAGTTGTGAGGTTTAAAATAAAACCAAAATACAGAATCCATTGAAAAATAGTCTTTCAGTCACATATGATATTAGTATCACATTTTGTAGCCTTTGAAATATCTCTAACACCAGTCATTTACTTTCTCTTAAATTGCTTTGTAATTCATAAATAATGATCACTGATAATGCAGTAGACCAAATGTAAACATCATACCCTAACTAAATGTTTTAAAAATATGAATAATAACATTATCAACAGTATTTGAGGGCTAATCGCCAAATAAAGTCACAGCATTATGCTCACGTGTTATTACTTCATCTAATTGTCTGGACATAAAACTGATAAATACAATTCTCTATGGGGTTTTTGCATGTTAAAAACACAATTTCACTTGAAATTTATATATATTTTATGAACTACCTCCATTTTAATTAATGGTGTAGAATATCTCGATCTCAGATGTCTTTAGGTAATAAATAAAGTTTTGCCCAAGTTAACTTATAATCAAATGGAGCCGAGAGATTTTGTCTCAAACAAAGACTTACTTACTTACGCCTGTTACTCGTCGTGGGGGTTCAAACAAAGACAAAGGATATTAAACGTATCTTCTTTGATCTTAACTAGTAATGATTTGGTTCTAATGTGAGAAACAGTGTGGTCTATCATCAACTAATTCTGCATTTTAAAATGCAAATTTACCCAAAACTACCAAACAAACAGATTATATCCATTGAAAAAATGAGATAAATCTATTTTTGTCTCCTAGTGGAGTTTTGTTACTCAGAAATGGAATTTTAAACAAGATAGCATGGTTCAGGAAAGAAACATAGCTTTCTGGGGATCTAATTATTGAGGTTTTGCATTCGCAAATATATTTTCAACTTTAAAATAATAATGTATATTTGATCATAATGGCTCGATCAGGATAACAAGTTAGTAAAAACACAATAGGTATTATATGTGTGTAAAGGATAGCAACGTGACTGCTACAGGACCTCAAATGATAATCCAAAACTGGCATAGAGACTAGACAAAGAATCATAGTTACAGAACTAAACTGTTTACCATGATATTGCGGAAGTGAAGTTCAGTAAATATAAGTTAGGATATTGCGCGATTTGTGCTGCAAGCTATCCACTTTAATCAAACTTAGGTGCTGAATAGGGTGATTATTATTATTATTATCATATTATTATTATCATGGGGGAAGAGAAAAGGAAATTCTCTGGTTCCAATAGTTGCGTATCCACTACATAGGTTGTTACGAATGTTTAGTTCGACTCAATCGAATGAATAATGTTCAATGATTTTTCTACTTATATACTTCGTTTATATGAGGTGTTGCCCCTACACAACCACGGATGAGAGTATTCTTGAACTCACTTGGAGCGGATAAAAATTAAAAATGCGCTATAGGTTGGCATATAAGGAATCTAATAATAGAAAATATTTTAAAAACTAATTATTCAATCGAAACGAACAAATTCATCATCACAATGAATTTGAAACACCTCAGACTTAATGAATGCATTTTTATCTTCATTATATAGTTGAAATTATTATAATGAAATCACTGAAAGAATACATATTTATTCAACTACTTATGTCTCAATGAGTATTTTGGTTTAAAATACAAACAAAAAGATTTAGATGAATTCATAGTTCAACATTTATTTATATCTTGTTATGTATGATTTGATTTGGTCTGTACACTTATCTATTATAAGCCTTTTAATACAAGAAAGTATATCACGCCAAAAATAACTAATATACAATATATATATTTTAGTCTGATAATATCATTTTACGCTTTATCTCATTTTGCCAAATCTTATATACTGACTAAAGTTTGTTGTTTATACTGTTAAAATAACTAAATAAACACATATTTTATTACTATTATTAATAATTAAGCATAGAAACAACAAAAAACTCCCTTGAAAATATAATGAATAACTTTGAAATGCCAATGTTATTTAAGAAATAATAATAATTCATTGGAACCGGTTAAATGATTGCATGAGTCAGACGCACATGACTTTGCTATTCAATAAAATTTGAGTTATTTTTACATTATAAGGGTGAATTCATGGCGGTTTGAAAACTTAACACTAGATAGCTAATTTTGTTCGAAAACCTTAACTTGTTTTTTTTCTATTATTTGCTTCTTTTTCCCTTCAACTGTATACAAAGTGAGCTAGGGTAGATATGGTCACTTTTAAAGTTATTTGTTATCTAGAAGCTGTAACTAATCTCATATAATTTAAAGCTAGATTTTTTAAAATTTACAGCAAAATTTCTTAAATGAGTAATACAGGTATTAAATGGAACTAATCAGTCGAATGCATATTCGTTCACTTGTCGTTAGAGTATATATTTTGTATGAGGTTAAACGACACAATTTTGTATAAGTAGAGTAAAATTAAGTTGTGTAGGGCTAAATTCTATACAGTTCTATAATATATATTCTATAATAGAACGATTAGGTTGGTTCTAATTACTTTCCATTAATCCTGATTAGATATCGACATTTTAATGATCAAGAAAATTCTTAATTACATTTCGGCTTCCAACAGAAAAAGTGTAATTCACATGTTGTACGTATGCTTTAACGAAATAGTCAAGTTACTTTAGATAAAAGAATTTATTGTTGTTTATTATAATAGTCTTACTACTTAAAGGTTATGGACATTTTAAAGAAAACTATCATAAAATAATATTTAGACTGGTGTTGATGATAAGAACCGTTTTGAAATTGAATAAATATTAAGAAATCAAATATTTATGTATATATTATGTAAGACTTGCTTTGCGAAAAATACATGACGTGTTCTAGTGAGAAGCAGTAACTATAGAGCTGATGTACCTTTAACGTCAGACTGCCAGCATCAGTGTCCGCTTGATGATCTACCTATATTGATAACTGATTAAAATCAAGAATATAAATCACTGGATTTGTATTCAATAATCTATATGAATATTCTTGCTAAAGAATAGAAATGCTATAGGCTCGTTTACATGTATCGTAGTAAGCGTGATATGAAGATTTTGTTTTCCCGTATGACTCTTTATTCTGTATAATGTACGATATTATTGTATTCAATTGACCTGAACCATGCTCAACATGACATGCAGCATGTGATTTGTCATAGCTGTAAGTATTGTTCATATATGTCATTTTATTCTAATTATCAATCAAACTGGGTGTATGAATCAATATATAAATGAGTGTATTTTTGACTAGGGTCGTCGTCGTCGTGTTTTGGGATTAACAAATCTTCACTTATACCAGTCTTTGTGTTCGTAATTTCGCGTCATGGGAACTGTAGTTTTTCCTCGCCTTATAATTATAAGTGATAAACGACTGCGACGACAGATATAACAATTGGTGACGCAGTCATAACAGTCGACCACCAGTCATAACAATATCAAATATGTTAACTCAATGAAGGAAACACTTAGACTTTGGAAGTTACAATCCAGATAAATAGATTGTGAAGATTTGTTGAAGTAGGAGACATTTTTCATTACGGAATAATGTGAACTGTATCGCTATTAAAAATGAATTAGAATCAGATTAGTGCGTTTAACATACTTCATTGAATTAAAGCTGAAGTAATGTTGACCCAAAATCATAATGGGTAAATCAATCTAATTTTGACTTTTCATCCCGTAATTTCAGATATAAATTATGATTTTGTGGTGCTATGAGTGAATTTTCGGTTATTGAAATAAAAGTAAAGAATACTACTGAATAGATAAAATGGAATGAAACTATGCAAGATGGTGTTGTCTGCCCAAGAGACCAGATTATTGATTTAAGATTTTAATGATTTCAGATCAAAGACGAGACTGAAAACAAAATAACATGATTATTTACAAAATGTTGAATAAAAGAATTAACATTGTCAGAAGTCACTTAACAAATCAATTATTTAAAGCTATGACAAGTGAAGGCCGTTTACTTCCTAATGTAATGAATGACGAAATACTATGTTTTGTTCGTATCTAATCATATCAATAGTCAATTAAAATAAATTATCCAGTTGTCAATTTAGATCCGTTGATTTCGCTAATGACAATTAAAAAGTTGGATAATAATTATATAATGGGTGGATATGCTTTAGCTTATATATTGTAGAACGTATGTTCGATAATATTCCAGATATATACTGAGTTAGAAAACGCTTTTCGAAACGGGTCAATTACAAATCTGTGTAGTCTGAAACATAAGTTGTTGTCTGTAAATTACAAGTATTACTTTTTTTGAAATTCCAAACTTTTAAGTCATGAAGAGGGCAAGAACAAAGATAGCAATATCAATGGTAAGATCAACATTGTGTAGTGTTCTTCTACGTAAGAAATATGTACACAATCTCTTAAATTTATCAAATTCTTTGCTATAGTATGCCGATAAGTGCACAAAATAACCTCAAACCTAGAGTCTTTTGTGTGGGTATTTTCAGTCCTTTTTATATTTACCTCAGATTATACAACCAGATGATGATTAAATAATAAAATAAAATGAATTCAGAGCTACTTCGTTGAAGCGTTTGTTATTGTTTTCTTTAAAAATGATACACATTTGTAGTTGTTCTGAAATTCTTGACCAAACTGAACCTTCTTACTGTTATTATTACTATCATTAATACAAGGCAAAAAGTGATATGTGCAAAATATATTACTATCCTTGTTCATATTCCTTATAACTGATTACATTTATGGGAAAGAATCACTCGAATAGAAGTCGAATGTCTCCAGTGTAAATCTTCAAATAAAGTAGATAAGACAGAGTTACTTGTTAACAGAGATAGATAGTGGCTAGCAACGGAATCCAGGACTCGCGTTTCGTCCTATTTGGGACTCATCGGCTGGATGTACATGAACTCCAGAGTTGATGTTCACTCTAAGACTCAAACCTAGTACTATTCACTTCAAACGCCATTACGTTATTCATTTATCTAATGAGTCTAGATAGCCACTAGCTTGTGGAATGAGCGGGGGATTTTTAATTCATTTTCGTATTGGTCGTTTGAATCCTCCCATTGATGTTTTGGATTGCAATTGAGCAGTCTCTGTTTGACATGTATACATTCTGTCCGGATTGCCTCGATATTACCGTGAATCACTAACATTATATGCAGCGATGAATTAAAACTTCACCCCCTCATCCCACAAGCTAGTGGCCATGTAAACTCATTAGCTAAGTGGGTAACGTGATGGCGTTTGAAGCGAATGGTACTGGGTTCGAGTCCCAGAGTGAACATCAACTCGAAATGCAAGTACATCCAGCTGACGAATCCTAAATGGGATGAAACACGCGTCTTGGATTCCACTACCAACCACTATCTATCTCTGCTTATAATGCTTATGAATTAAAGCAATATCGAGGCAATACGCACATTATGCACATATGATAATAAGAGACTGATAAACTGCCATCCTAAACATCAGTGGGAAGATTCCGAAGACCAATACGAAAATGAATTAAGAGTTAGTTATTGTTCAATAATTCTTGATTTTACTTTTACTAAATCATTTTCTAACTTGTGTAAATCATAACAATTTACCTTGAAATCATAGTTATACTAAAATTTTAAAAAAAACATAATTTTCTTACTCCAAGAGCTAGTGTTTTGTAAACGAACAACGTCTCTATAAATAAATTTGATTAATTACTGTAGATAAAATTGTATTGTTAATTAACTTGTCATCTGATAGGTTAATGGGTTTTTTTGAAAAACAACAACAACAACTACTACTTCTACTACTACCAAATTATCTTATTTTGATAATAGTTATACTTATTAGTTAGAGTACTTTATAATTTACCTTAAAAGTGTTCACATTACTTTTACACTGATTTGATAACACATACAATTTATCACTTCATGAAATCCCTACCCCTACCCCCCAAAAAAGAAAAATCAAACAAACAAAGAATCCTGATAATATCATCTCATGAAGCTTTTTTTCTTCATTAATTAATTTAAAGTATGAAGATTGTTTTTACTATAACTTGAAATTGACTAAAAATCTATTGATAGTTATAGGAGTATTAAACAGTTTTTACATTCTACTTTGGGATATTTCTTCAACGATATTTAGAATCTAATTAATATGTACAAACTATCAACTAAACTATGATCAAGTGTTCATCAGTGATGGCTAAATTTGCGATGGATTCATGAAGGAATTATAAGTGAAAAAGAGTAACTATATTCGAAGTAGGATGAGTCATCATTATTGGTATTCAGTAATGATTACAGTAATATCCCAAGTTAATTAACTGACTAGATTTCGATGGAACAGTTTTCAGATAGTAAACTGGGGCCAAAATCAATAGGGTTATAAATTCGACCCCTGTTGAAGTGTACACACTTAAATAATTCCAAATTGACATTAATCAGTTCTCCACTACCCTCTAATTTATCAGTTGTTCTCTCGTTTTAATTCACTTCAATAAATCATTCAGTTAAATAAAAAGATAATTCATCATCATAGGAAAATGGAAAACAAAATGTGAGCTAATATTTCATGTGAATACCAAAAAAGGAAGGTTAAGGTAAACTATTAAATTAAAAAAACTCACGTATTTAAAATTGCATAAAATCAAGCTAATGAATAGAAAACTTGACATAATAACAGTAAAATTCAAATCATTGTCTATACATTAATTTTACTTCATTTTAGGTGATTTAAATAGAATATTGCTTTTCTATAGTTGATTTTAAAACTCATTTAGTCATCAACAAAGGAGAATCTAACACTAATACGTTGGTTTACGTTGCTAAACCACATCAGTACAATGGAATGAAATAATCCATACACACGGAAGAGCAGTAGAAGTAGTTGTAGTAGTATAAAAGATCGGGCATTAATATGATGCTTCGAGAAGTGAACTTCTAAGACAGTAAAGTATCGGTCAACTTACAAACTTACGATCTAAGCAAAGATAAAGAGTGAGTACATATGTGCTATTATGATCAACACTTAACCATAATACAAGACATTACCAACTATTGGTTATGATAATGATGCAAACCACAATCAAATGGTCCTCACCTATTAACACAACTCATCTTCATCATGATTTATTCGTTCCTAGCTTTCTTGGAACCTACATCTACACAAGTTTACATCTCATATCAAGAAGAAATTTTCAAAGTTGATCTCTGTGACAGCAACATACAAATATACAGAATGAACATAGATAACTCAAAGTTATTTGTAAATTCATAAGATAAGAGTCAAGTACAGAAATCTGTACCTTGCTGATGAGTGTCAGGTAGCACAAAACCCGAGTCCAGGGTTTCCTGTTGACTGCCTCCAACCACCATCTTATGTCAACATAGTGCACGCAGTGTCGAGTCACCTAGATTAGTGGCCACATTGCAACTTGATCGATAACATTCTATCTGCACTAAGAAGGACTTGACACACATGACATTGATCCCCACCCAGTGATCAATCAATTATGAATATATATATATATATATATATATATATATATATATATCTTCTAGAATATTAATTATATTTATAAAACACTAAATGTTTTACAACTGATATTTTATGTCAGCTGGGCAGGTGTATAAACATTGTACACATTATAGTATATAAATATCTGATTTACCTTAGATCGACTAGTCTATTCAACTGTTAAAAATATTACAACCTCCGCAAACCCCCTTACCGAATTAAATAATCGCTGCTTTTTTTGGATATTTTAATGTTCATGGAAGCATAAAATAACAATTTTCTATAGTTATTCATTTGTTAATTAAGTGCAGAACGAATTAGACCAGCTTAATATAATGTGTAATTAATTTATATAATAGTAAAATGGTATGATTCATCTTCTGTGGAAAAAGGGGTAATCATATATATATTACTTGAGTGTATGTTTACCGAAATAATGGTCTAAGATTGTGAACTAA